AAGATTTTTCAGCCCTGAGGATTATTTTCAATGAAGCATGAAACATAACAGAGTTCCCTCCCTGACACAATGGGGGCCCACAGAGATGATTTTCCTTAAATTCTGGAAGTCCAAGGATATTATTGATTGATTGAATGTCAAGCTTAGAAGAAGTGAAGTGAATGCTAAGAAAGTATGCTTTTGATATATTAGGTTTCTTCATTGACCATGATTGTCCACTTCTGCAATAAAATAGGGAGGATTTGTTTTCTCAGGGAATGATAATATGGGTACTATACAGAAATGAGCAATGTTCATTGCCAGCAGGGAATGAGTTACTAAGATATAAAGTATAACAACCTTAAAGTCAAGATATAATGGATGTGTAGACAATGCTTGGCTTTTACTGAGGTCTTTAGAAAGGTTCAGAAAAAACTAAGGATATAGGTGAATTAATAACATCTTTTTTATCATTATTATTATTATTATTATTATTCACAGACAAGGTTCATAAGCTATAGAAAACTCAGTAGTGGCTGTATCACAATTCAAAGAAAATTTGGGTAGCAAAAATAGTGATTTGTATCAGTTCTGACTTCATTGAGATGAAAGTTTTAGATGAAAAATGTGACCAGAAAGGAGTCACCAAAAATAATCAAGTATATTTATAGTAAGAATGTATAAAATGAGCACAGACTGTTTCTAACTCAAAGAAATGATTTGCCCTGATTGGGACATTATTTCATGGGGAAACTCACTCAATAGTAGTATAAATGCAAGTATGAATGAACTTGATATTTAAGGGATGTGTAAGCGTCTAAGAAGGAATGTGTTTCTTATTCTAATAATATTGTTTACCTTCAAGTCGAAATCAATACAACTGACTTTATCCCTAAACATCAAAACTGACACTTTTGCTTGAGTCCGCTGAGTCTCTCAATGTAGACAAAAGCCTAGTGAGCATATGTTGTGCTTAAGTCTTTGATTTATTGGTTCTAATTTAACAACTATGTATAAATCACCATCACTTCTCTAGAAATTCTAAAACCATTTAAAGAGAAGTCAACCAAAAACTGTGTTGTGTGGGAAAGCAGCTGAATTTCTCTCTATAGCTGTGTTTGACAGAGGTCTTTCTTCTTCAAGTTCCTTAATTTTGCTAACATGTTTCAAGTAACTTCACTGCCTTTTAAATTACCATGCAGAAGCCCCAAGGCAATCATTCTTTTTTGATCTTGCCATGTGTCCTTGGAGAAGGGACAAGTGGGGCCTACTAACTCTCCCCACCCTGCTGCCCCCAATCTTGAGTAGTGACAGTTGGGCACACTCCGTCTGTTTTGCCAGATCCAGGGGAAAAGGGAGCCAATGGATGGCTAGGCTCAGCTACAATTATGTCTTGCTATCTAAGCTCCAGAGACTTAATCTTTGTACACTTTGTCCACCATGCTCCTCTTTCCACAGTTCCCAAGTCTTAAACATTTTAAACCTTTGTTCTGATGATTCATTTAAACTAACTTAAAACAGTTTAAGTTAGTTTAAGACACTTTAAGATACTGTTATTGAAACACATCATGCATCACCAAAGCACATTTAGACTATAAGTACTTACTAATTTCTTACCACAACTGGGACCTCATTTTTCTATGTACACTGCCCAGTGTCCTGTGCATTAGGAGTCATTCCAATCTGTCTGGGAAAAGGCACTTATTCAGGTCATGTTGAATACCAGGCCTATATCCAATTATACTTGGGGTGGTTGTTTGTTTGGCCCCAGGTAGTTTTCTCAGACAAATGCAAGCCGTCAGTACTTTAATGAATTATTGCGGTAACTTTCTACAAATCTATTTTTTTTTTTTTGCATACTTGAATTTAAAATGGATCTTGGATTACAAGTGAATTTTATGTCTGTACTATGTATTTGGAAACTTGTACTATAGTAGAAATATCAAACTATAAACCTATTTGTTTAACAAACTATACTACATGCCTTGTATGACCAAATATATTTGGTTACTCAAAGTGTATTTATTGTCTGGTCTTTATTTGTTTGAATATTTTCTGTATTCCTGTTGTGATGATTTCTAGTTTTATTCAATGTGGTTTGATAATATATAAGAAGATATTTCAATTTTCTTGCATTTGTTAACAACTGCTTTATGTTATAAAATATTATCAATTTGGAAAAAGTTCTGTAGGTTGGTGAGAAGAATGTGTATTAGGCAGCTGTTGGGTGGAATATTCTGTATATGTTGGCTAATTCTATTTATTGTTTAGTGTCACTTAATTCTGACATTTATTGATTTTTTTCTGTGTTCATGAGATTTTATTACTGAAGAAACTCACTGTCTGTATTGGAGTTGATTGATGTCTATAGGTTCAGTGGTGTCTATTTTGAAAATTGGATGTGTAGATGTTGGGCTGTATATATTTATAATTTTTAAATTTTTTAATTTGTTTTTTATTATTGTTATACTGGGGGTACATTGTGACATTTACAAAAGTTTTTACAAAATATCATAACTGAATTTACCCTTTATTCCCCATATTTCCATCCCCAGAACAGTTTCCTCAAGACTCATTTGTCCATTTATATACGTGTGCACATGGTATGTTGACTGTATACACCCTCCTACACCCTTTCCTTATATCCTCGCCCCTCCCACTGGTACCAGCCTCCCAGGCAGGACCTATTTTTCCTTCCTGTTCTCTTTTTTTGTAGGAAAAAAAATGGAATTTTTGTTTGTTTAAGATAGCTATACAGGGTGTTTAATTGTGACATTTCCATTTATTATAAACCAAATTGGGTTATCCCCTCTATTTTTCTCCTTTCTACCTCAGTCCTCTTCTTATGGTGATTTCAACTCATTTAAAAATTCTATATTCATTCTTTGTATAGGAAGTAAATAACCATATTCACCTTCTTAACGTCCTCCTTTTACACTCCCTCTCTTGTATGTGACCTCCCCTTAATGTGACCTGTTTTTCATAATATTGCTTGTATTTGTATTGGGTCTATATTCTACATATAAGAAAAAACATGTGACCTTTGACTTTCTGAACCTGGCTAACTTCACTTAAGATGATATTCTCCAGTTCCATCCATGTACCTGCAAAGGACAAAACTTCATTCTTCTTTATGGCTGAATAAAATTCCATTGTATATAAATACCACGATATTATTCTCAATAGCTAAGCTGTGGAAACACCAGGATACTCCACTACTCATAAATGGATTAGGAAAATGTGGTGTTTATAATTTTTATATCCACTTGAAGGATTGTACCCTTTGTCAATATGAAGTGACTGTTATGTGTCTCTTCTGACTACTTTTGCCTTAACCTGTCCTTTTTGGATAGAATATAGCTAGTTCCACTTGCTTTCAGATTCCTTTTGCTTAGAAATATTTTTTCATCTTTTCTACCTTCAGTCTATGTTTGTGTTTTTCAGTGAATGACTTCCTTGAAAATGGCAAACAGCTGAGTCTTTTCTAAAAATGTAATCTAACTCTTTAGTTGGAGAATTGAGACCATTAATATTGATTTATTATTGAAATATATGCACTAATTCTTATCATTTTGGATCTTTTGTAACGCTTGGCTCTTTTCTCTCATCATTTGCTTTTCTACTAGTGGTATTTATTATTTCTTGTATTCTCATGGACTTTTTAAGTTCTTCCTTGAAACAGCATACTTTATCTTTCTCAGTGCTTGGGAGTTCATATATTCCTTATTTGAGATCATGTAATATATATCATTCTGCCATCTTTAACACCTCTGAAAACATTATAAAATTTTATTTCCATATAAAGATTCAGTTTTAAGATATTCTATAGTAATTACAGGATATTATAGTTTTAGGATGCATTTAGATCATTCATCTTGGGCATTTATAGATGTTCTTTATTTCAACTTTGTCATGAACACTGTGAGCATATATGCACATTTATGACTTTGTATGTATATTTGTACAAATAAACATGTGAATTTTCTTTATATTTAACTGGCAATTGTTATTTTAGTGTGTTCTCTGACATCACATTGTTACATTTATTACATGGTGAATATATTTTACCACTGGCATAAACTGTAAACAGTTCACATATGGTGAAAATCCTGCAGTCCATGGTGTAATCATACTGGGAACAAGAGAATAACTGATACCTGTAGATTCTTTTAGAGAAAAATGTGGGGGTTTTGTTCTATTTCAATGGTTTCAATTATCATGTATACTAATAATTTTTAATTCTATATCTCAGGAGCTAATCTTTATGGGAAAATATAAATAATTTCATGATAGAGGTTTACCTAAAATCATTATATTACTTAATATCTGATGCTATGTGTAAGAAAGGAGAAAAATTTATTTTGCCCATCTAAAACTTGTCTGAAGCAGGATGACTATTCAGCTACAATAGTAGATTATAATCTTTGTACTTTATTTTGTGTGTGACACTGTCTTAGGAGCCTTATGTGGCAAATCTCATGTAAACCTAACAAAAACCTTTAAATGATCTTAAAAATCACATATATGCCCATTATATAGATAAGTATATGTTAGCCCAGGAAGATTATATATGCTTGACCAGGTCAGAAATCTAGAATTCCAATCTTGAACTCAGAATGTAAAGGTCAAGTACTATACATGAGTAGTATTATTCTCTGAAATACAGTAATATTTTCTCTTCTAGTTTGAAGGAATAGGCTATCTGTTAAGTTGATGTGAGGTTTTGTTTTTCTTTTGTTTAATGTGTGAGCATGGGCTGGATCTTTAGACTTCTAGTTTGCATCAATGTGAAATTAGAAAGGATATATTGAATTATTATGTTTTAAACCTGTTGTAACAAAGCTTACCATTATACATACAAGCTAACTTTTGTATAGTACTGTTCTAAACAAAGGACACATGAACAGTAGGAATTTAACATTACCTCATTTATTATAAAATAATCATTATTGTTTTTCCTAATGTTGGGTGCTATAACTTTAGATGAATCTAATTTTGGAGTTTCTTGAATAAATGAAGAATTAAGATCTTTGGTGTTTATCCACATAAATCTTGTTCAAAGAGAAGACCTGAATAAACCTCTCCTGAATTTTTTGGTCTTAACTCCATAAATAATAGGGTTGAGAAAGGGTGGTACCACCACATAGAGATTAGCAATAAGGATATGCACATGGCGTGGAAGGCTGTGGCCTCCGAACCGGTGAGCCAGGGAGGAAAAGAAAACTGGTGTATAGAACAGGAGAATCACACAGATATGGGAGCCACAAGTACCCAGAGCCCTGAGTCGGGAATCTTGGGAGGGAATTTGAAAGACAGTGCAAAGTATAAGAGCATAGGAGATGATGATAAGCACCACATCTAGGCAAAAGGAAAATAGGGCAACAGTCATTCCATAGTAGATGTTGACTTTGATGTTGTCACAGGCCATCCTGGCAATGCCCATGTGTTCACAGTATGAGTGATGAATAACATTCCTCCCACAGTAAGTGAGCCGATAAACCAGAAAAATCAAAGGGAAGCAGATGAAGAAGCTCCTAGTCACAGCGGCAACACCCATTTTTCCAATGGCTGAGGTCCTTAAAATGGTTGTATATCTAAGTGGGTAGCAGATGGCCACATAACGGTCAAATGCCATGGCCAGCAAGATGGCAGACTCTGCCACAAAGATGAAGTGAAGAAAAAACATCTGAGACACACAGCTACCAAAAGAAATACTCCCAGCTTGGAACCAGAAGATTGCTAGCATCTTTGGTGTGGTGACTGTGGAGAGTAACATATCTGCTACAGCCAACATGGAGAGGAAAAGGTACATGGGCTCATGAAGACTGTGGTCAGTAAAGATCAGGAATAATAAGAGGGCATTGCCTACAATAGCTACTATGTACATGCAACAGATGGGGATGGAGATCCATATGTGTGCATCTTCTAATCCTGGGATACCAATCATGGTATACCAGATATCCTTGAGGTTGGTAAGATTTGAAGAGATTGGATAGGTTGTCATCTTTTACTATTTTCTCTAATACTGGATCATGGAATGAAAACAAAAGACAGAAAAAATATGAACCAGTGTTATTTTATCAGGTTAAGTATGAATCTTTTCATTGTGGTAAAGTTATTGCTATCTAAAAGATTGGAAATCACTCATAGATCAAAATTACATACCAGACAGATTTTAGTGACAGGAAAGTCATCATGTTTCCTGAAATTTATGCTACTGCCAATAATGATAATGGAAAGAATATTATCTTTTAATGGCTTTAGAATGTCCAGTCATTCTTCATATTTAATGCTTAGCATCACAAAGTCTCTTGTAGGCATTTTCATTTACTAGGCCTTGTTCTTTTCTGATTGTTCATTTTTGATGATTAAGCACCATTCCCTTTTCTGTAGTTCTGGAAACATAATGACTGGATAGAATACTTTGGGGATCTTTTTGTTACCTCAAGACAACTGAATTAGTGACAACCATTAACTTGTACTTTAAACTTTCTTAACTTATACTTTTCTCTGGTACTTTATTTGAAGAGACAAAGACAATTATAGTTAGCCCTTTTTGTTTACAGTGATGTTTTCACTTAATATTGTGGCATTGGAACTATGCCATTGTTTTGCATGTTCACAGGATACATGTGTGTTGGTTAAACCGACATTATGCACAGTGAAGACTCAAGAAGCATTATTCTAAGTACAGGGTGTCTTCTCATCTTCCACATCGCATTCCTCCTTCCACTGTATACTCACACACCCTGATCATTTTCTACTATTTTTAACTTGTGTTTATATATATTTTTCCTTCTTTTCTTTATTTCCATTTCTGCCCAAATGTCAACATCAGTGGAGAGAGGATAAAAGTGGTTATAGAAAATATGATAACAAAAGAAATGACTCACAAGTACTTGAAAGAAATAAATATTAATGGTCATTTAAATTTACACTTTGTATAATACTATGCTAAAGAAGAATTAAATATAAATCATAAATGCCATCTATGTCAAGAATCTCATTACTGTGTGAGAACCATGAACATGGACATAAGGAACCACCCTCAAAGTAGGTCAGGGTTAAAATGGTGGGAACTATTCAAGCACGTGGTTTATCAGCATAGGGCAGACATTATCTTTAATAAGAGGGATAGGGAAAAGACTCACAGAAGTGCTGTCATTCAATCTATTTATAAGAAAAAAATAGGATTTCATAAGAAAGTGTATCTACATAAATGTACTATCATTCTAACCCCCTCAGCAAACAAGCAAGTCATGTAAAATGCTTAAATGAGGAATGAAAATCACTGTATATATTAAGGTATCTAGCAAATTAGAGGTTAAAGACATGAGAATTGTGACTAGAGTGTGATTATGACCTTGAATGTTCAGAGATCTGACAAGAAAATTCAAGGCTTTTGATTTAGTTCTTCATGCTAAGAATGATTTATTAATTAAAAATATGTGAAGTTTCTTAAACTCAACAAAGTCTTAAGGAAAATATAATATGATCAAAGTGTTTTCTCATTTCAAAGACGCTTTCTAATGAGTACTATGCTTATTTTTCTTTCTGTTTCCCAATTATATACTTGCATTTTTTAATTACATATTTTGTCCTATTCTTCACCAACAAACTTTAAAATTCATGATGGCTATGAGTATATTCAGCATCTAGCAAAATAAGTTTTTGTTGAATGAATATGATTTAAATAGCAGGAAGATTGATTGAAGATGAGAAAAAAAAATCTAAGGGGAAGTACTAGACAAACTGAAACAAAACCAGAAACAAGGCCTTAGCAATGAAAATTATGCACTTAGAAATAAATACATGAAATTGAGAATTCTATGTGATATATTAATCAGTGATGACTAAAAGGCAATCAAAGATTTTGACAACAATACTTATGTCTGAAAAATAATAAAAAGACCAAAATAAAAGGCAAAAAAAATTGCATTTTTTGCACCACATATCATTATTTTTGATTCAAAGAAGGAAGAATGAGAAATAAAAGAATTTGTATTAAATCTCTTCAAATCAATAATTGAATTCAATTCAATTTTATAATAGTGACAGTTCTCAACCTACTAGACTTTAATTAAAAATTTTAGCTCAATTTAGTACAAACTTTATTTTATTGTTAAATAAAACTTTCTCAGCATTTTCCATGAGTTATGTTTTGTGTTTGTATAATTTAATCCTCATGAAATACCACTTACTTATTATAATAAATGAACTTTATTTTTACTGACATGGCTTCCATCTCACACTGTAAAACTAAAGCAGAGCAGGTTAAATAAATTCCCCAAGATCACTCAGCTAGTGTTTAACTAAGCTGGATTCCAACTCAGGTCATCTTGCACTAATGAACTGCATTATTTGCAATTCATGAGCAATTCCTTCTTCACAATCTTTTCCTTTGGCTTCATTGATGCCATTATACTCTAATACTTTGTCTCTGAACTAGAAGTCTGTAATCCTAGTTACTCAGTTGGCAGAGATCTGGTGATTCGTGGTTTGAGTCAGCCAAGGAAAAGGTTTGTGAGACTCCCCCATCTCAACCAATTGTGAGCACAATCCAACCCAGTTTCATTATGAAGAACAGAGGAGCATCAGAGTCCAGCCTGGCCCATGCATGAAGCAAGACCTTGTCTCAAAACTAATCAATGCAAAAAGTGCTGGTGGAGTGACTCAAGTTGCACAGCATATGCCTAGCAAGCACAAGGCTTTGAGGTCAAACTCCTGTGCCACCAAAAATAAAATAAAATAAAATGAAAAAGCAGAGATGTTATCATCCTCTCAGTTCAATGTCCTTCCTTTCTCAACTTCAGCTATTTAGTCATGATTTGAACAAAATCCAGAACCCCAAGTCTTGTAATTCACATTATTTCTCCTTTTTCCCTAAAAGTACTGCTTTCTCACTCAAAGCAATATCATACTACAGCTTTGTAATATTCTATATCCAAACTCCTGGCTGGAGACTTTGCAAATAACTATTACTGGCTGATTTTAGAAGTGAGTGGTTCTCAGAGATAACCACTTGCATTCTATTGTGTATGTGATTTATGAAGAGTGAAGTTGGGCTTAATATTCTAGTTGTTGTCCTCTGTTATTCTTAACTACATGTTTCTTATATCCTTCACTTCTGCTTTATATCATATTTCTTCTTCTATTCTCTTGATAAGTCAACCTTACCTCTAAATAAATAGATACATTATCCAAACAAACAAAATAACAAAAATAATCCAATAATTAAATTTTACCATAAGAGATTTCAGTTTTTGCTGTCTTGAGAAACAGGTGTCTTACCTCCTTTTTTGTTTTAGACGAAGTGATACAAACCCCTTCTTCCATTAATTCTCCAAAAACACCTGTAATCAGAAAGGTGAAAATAATAAAGAAAATCACACAAAAGTCTGTGAAAAATATTTTGAAAAACTCAGGGATCTCTTCACTCACAGGAAATCTAACCTGTGACTCACTGAGATGGAGCGAACATCCTCAGCTCTTTTCATCTACTGATTCCGATTCTGAAAATAAGCCATCTTTCAAATTCTGGAATAGTTCTTCCTCATGGAGATTATCTGTAAGCCATAAACCACCTCTAAGTAAACTCTTCATTTACTTGAAAGAGTATGGCCAGGACAGGAAATTAGATATGATCATCAATTATAAATATTTGATAAGCATGGAAAATGATTTCATTTTATCCTGTTTTAGCTTTAGCCAAAATCTTAGGCAAGTATTATAACATAAGTGGGGAGAAAAAAACAGTTTCTGTCTCTGAATCAACAGTGTACTTAACCTGAAACCTGGCATAATAGCCAGGAATACCTTTGGAACAGGGCCTCCATCTTCTGTCTAATTCAGCGTATTAGGTGTTGTTACCTCTTCTACCCTGCAACTACAGACTCCCTAATGCTGTACAAGAGGGGTTGTGTTTTCTTGATCTTATCTTCTAGCCCTAGCCCAGGGGTGGGATATATAGCTTTCTCTATCACAGTAGATCTAAGACTCAGTAGAAATTAGGATCCAGGAAAATGGTTGTGATCTTCTGGATCCATTTAGAAAGTCCAAAAAAGACAGAGTAAATAGTTAGCTAGGCTTAAAAGAAGAGTGTCTTTCTGAGACAGTCCAGGAAGATTAACAAAAGTACTATAGTTTGCAAATACTCTCAGTTTGACAAACAAAGCAAAGAAATACTGAATATTGATTTGGTTTGCACTTATTAAATGTATAAGATTTTTATGAGAAATGTGATTGCCAGAGAACAAGAGTCTATTTGTAGTGCTAGAAATGCATTCCCTAGGAATTTACACAATTCACAGATAAAATGTACAAGTTACCATTTCTTTTGTTGTTCTGGGTTCAAATTTGGAATCTCATTCATTCTAGGCAAATGCTATACCATTGAACTCCACCCCTGCCTTTCATCAAGTATTTTAAACACTCTTTTTCTGCATTAAATGTAAATCAACTACAGTTATGTATGGGAACACATAACTTTTGTTCCCTGCTCACAGTCCAGTATAGGAAGAGAGATATATATGTAGTGAAAACTGTCTTTAACTTCACCTCCCATGGCCATAGAACTTCTGAAATTTAAAATAAATTTTCTGGTGTTTCTGCTATTTAAACTCATGAGTATCCTCAATATTAATATTTTTCTATTGCATAGATAATGACACTAAAGCTCAAAAATTTCAGTCACTTAATTTATCCACACAAATAGTAATTAACCAAGCTGAAAGTTAAAATCAGGTCTACCCCTAACCACATTCTTATGATTAAAGAGGCTGTCATATCTCAATCTGTCTAAGATTAAAATCACAAATAATTGTTCTTATAATTCTCCAATAACTTTTAAGCTTTAAAACTTATAGTATTGACTTGTGACAGACCATGAATTTACATGAAAAAATACTCATTTAGCAATTTACCAAGTAAGTACAAAATGAAATTAAAAGATTCCTAAGTAAAGCAATGGTTTCACTACATACACACAAACATACACACAAACAT